CGCCGACAGGTGGGACCGCGGCAGGCTGCGAGCAAGGGGTAGGAAGCGGCCCAGGGCAGGGAGCTGGAGAAGCCCCTGAGGGCTCGGGGCGTTGCAGGGAGGAGCCCCCGCCGAGCCGGTGGTGGGAACCACCCGAAACTACTAGGGCCCTGGGTCGGGGTCCGGTAGAGAGGGAGGGCCCGGACCCCCCTACCCCTGCTGCCTGAGACCCTGGCACGTGGGAGCAGGGTAACAAACTGCAAACTGAGGACTAGGCCGGGAGGCCGTATTTCCCCTAGCACAGGGGCATTGTACTTTGGGACTAGGCCGGTGGGCCGTATTTCCCCTACGAGAGGGGCAGTGTACTTTGAGGGCTAGGCCCAGACGGGCCGAGTTAGGCCCCGGATGGGGGTGGCAACCCCAAGACAGGGGCGAGCCCCCCGACAGTCAGGTAATACAAGGCTATGGTGGAGGAAAATATACATCTGTGTGGTCAGATGAAAGAAGAGGAGACACATCCCTGGAGGGACAACTGGTGCAGGCTCAGACTCCTCTACTCCCAGGAGTGGTGATTTTGGAGGGAAGGGAAGTGTAATGAGGTTGTCATCAACTCCAGGTGAAACCATGGTTAAACCCAGCCCTGGGAGAGGGCTGGAACTGTGGAGCAAGCAGCTGAGGTAGATAGCAACCAATGAGGGCCTAGGTGGGGCAGTAAATAGGGGCTGCTAAAGCTCAGACGCACACTTTTGCTCCAGCTCTATCTTCTTGGGTAATCTAGAGAGGGTCCTGAGACAGAGCAGGGCCAGGAAAGGGCAGGCAGAGCTGGGGAGCTCTGTCCAGGCAAACTCCCAGGCTAAAGTCTTGCTCTCAAGGCCAGAAGGTAATGAGGCAGAAGTTTCACATGCCCTTGCCAATAGTAAGACTGCAGTTTTCCCTGAGGCAGGGGCTAGAAAACAACTTGCAGTGGGTCACTGAGTCAGGGTAAATATAATGTATTGGGGTTCCCAGGGAGGACCCCAGAGTGCAGGGGCACTGCTTTGAGAAAGTAGCATGAGGGAAAGGGCACCATGGGCTAGGAGGGACACTGGGCCTGAATCAGAGCAGAAGAATATGGGTAACTGAGGGTGAGACACAGGCCAGCAGAAGGTGTTCTGAGGCTGAAGACAAATTCCCAATGAGTCCAGCAGGAGGCACCACTTCAGTGAGTCACAACCAACTACAGTCTCTTAACTACACTTATCCGCTCAGTACAAACCTTAATATATAGAACAAGCCAGAAGAGCTACAAAGTTTTAGTGATGGTAAAATAAAACATTTCCATGTTTGTAATTTAACTCCAAGACCATTATAATTGAATTATTTACATATGTACATGTGTGGTCCCAAAATTCTTTGAAAATTGCAGTAAAAAAAATAAAACTTTAGAATAAAGGAAAGGAGGCCAGAGAAGATAGTTTAAAGTAATTTTTTTCTGATTACCTTAGCTAGTGCCATTCTAGAGCAGCTACCCTCAGCTCTGGGTCTCTGCAGAGCCGCCCTATTCCCTAGAGTAAGGGGAAGAGAAAAAAAATGGTACAAAAGAGGCCGCTTTCTCCCCACTTCCTCTTGATAGGGAAATTACCTTGGCCTTCTAAAACTAAAAGTGTTGGGCTTCTCCCCACACAAGGAATTAAAAAGACATATGATATGCATAGAAAGGCAAGTTCACATACTTCAGAGCCACAGGTTTCTCTGGAGCTTAATCCTCTGACTAGGATTGTTCTGTCTAGGATGTCCAAAACCACTTCAGTGTCCTTCTTTTATTTCAAATCAGATACATATCCAGAAGTCTGTGTCTGCGAAAGCCATGAAAATGTCTGGTCACTAGCATAAATTTACTTAAAGTTCTAAATAGCTGTTCTTGGAGCCAAATCAGCACGCTTTACTCACATGATTGGTCCTATTACTTGCAAGGATATTCCCTTCATACATAAGACAAATGAGATTTGGCTATTGATTTATTATAGTTCATCTCCAACTTGAGGTCTGCAGTGAACTGCATTGCTGAACTCAACTCCATTGTTACTTGATACAAATCCACTGTACAAATAAATAAAAATGTCACATATCTTCTTCCATTCATTTCCCTGTTAACTGTCCTTCAATTTTTAAGCTTCGGAGAGGTAGCCAAGTTAGTCTGTACGGGTATGTCTACACTACAAAGTTAGTTCGAACTAACGGACGTTAGTTCGAACTAACTTTCATAGGCGCTACACTAGCGCTCCGTTAGTTCGAATTTAGTTCGAACTAACGGAGCGCTTAGTTCGAACTAGGTAATCCTCATTCCACGAGGATTAAGCCTAGTTCGAACTTGCTAGTTCGAATTAAGGGCTGTGTAGACCCTTAATTCGAACTAGTGGGAGGCTAGCCCTTCCCAGCTTGCCCTGGTGGCCACTCTGGCCAACACCAGGCAAACTCTACTGCCCCCCTCCCGGCCCCGGAGCCCTTAAAGGGCCACGGGCTGGCTACACAGTTTGTGCCAGTTGCTAGGCTGCCAGCACCAGTGCCAGCACACCCTGCACCTGACACCCATGAGCCAGCCATCCGATGAC